CTGCTTTTGCTCCCGCCTCCTTAGAATCACTCTCCTCTGAAATGTCACTCAGCGAGCCGTTCTCATTATCATCAGAAGAAGAGGAAGATCGACTTTTGGATCGCTGACGACCGCTCGATTGTTGCCGATGTGAAGAAGACGACTGAGGTCCTCGCTGCTGCTGCTGCTGCAGCTCCCGACCTCCTTCTCCTCGACCTCCACTTCTACTTCCACTGACTCCTTTTACAGCTGAGGAGGAGGAGGAGGCGTGGTGATGGTGGTGGTGGTGATTACGATCTAAAAATCAAAAGTTAAAAAATTANAAAAGTTAAAAAATTAAAATCATAAAAAAAATTCTTAAAAAAATTTCCACTTACCCAAAGAGCTCGACTTGTGCTGCCCCTGCTGCCCCTTATGACTGGACTTGTAGTTGTGGCGGTGGGTGCAGTTCTCCACCAAACTTCGCACCACGTCCTCAAAGATGGCCACCCGTTCCTCTTCGCTCTAAAGTAAAAACAAAAAAGTTAAAAATAAACACCAAAACCTCCTCAAAAAACCCACCTGAACCGCGGCAAAGGCCTCCTCCTTCGCTATGACCGGCCGCACCTCCGCCCAGCTCGAGTCCTCCCGCAGCGGCGGACTCATCCGCTCCAGCAGGCCAATAAAGCCCTGCTCCAGCTTCTTCTTCGAGCGGGCCTCCTCCCGCAGCCGTTCCTTCTCCTTCTCCCGCTCCCTCTCCACCAGCTTCTCATGCATCAGCTTCACATTGCCCGAATCGAGCTTCCCACTCCGCGGGTCAATACTGAGCAGCTCCACAAACTCGCTAAACTCCGTCGCCGGGCCGACGACAAAGTTCGCCGACTTCATGATGCTCCTTATCAGCGCCTTCTCATCCTCGTACCGCGCCTTCAGCTCCTCCACGTAGAACTTAAACAGATCCAGCGGCGTACTTCCGTTCAGTGGCTGCGAGAGCATAGCCTCAAAGCGAGCATCGGCGCTAATGTCGTGGTAGAGGGTGACCCACTTTGAAAGGGAATTGAGCTTTCCACTAGCGTGAAGCTCATCCAGCAGCTTGAGGAAAGCCTCTCGGTTTCGCCGCTGTTCCCGCGCCTTCATCTTCCGCTCATTCGCCTTCTCCGTCGCCTCGTCCTCCTCCAGCTGGCGAATGTGCTCCTGGAAGACGATCAGCGCGTCCTCCTTGTCCATACTGAGCAGCTGGGCGTCCTGGGCGAAGATGGGGTTGTCAAAGAGGAGCAGTTGGGCCTCCTCCCAGGTGGTGCGGTAGGTGATCTGAGCGGAGGGGAAAGGGAAGAAATCGAAGTTAGTTGAAAACCAAAACAAAGCCTTATCATCCTACTCACCAAATTCATCGAATCGAGGACGTCGCTGAGGACGGTCATGTTCCGCTTCCGCAGCTCCTTCGCCTTTTCCCGCTCCTCCCGCGTAATCTCCGTCAGAGCG